CATCATACGCCAGTGCTGTTAAATCATCTCATACAGTTGCCACCCAAACATCAATAGGCACGCAGACTCTACCAAATAAAACCCAACCGACTACATCCAACAAGAAAAAAAGAAAATTCAACTGATTTAATACAAAAAAAAAAAAGAAAGAAAGAAAGAAACAGTAATTCAAAGTAAACCTAAAAATGTGAGTCAGAAAATAATTAATAAAAATAGAAGCCCCAGCAATAGCTCTCTTGATGGGATGATTTCTGAATCTGCTTATTCAGATAGTATGGAAGTAGAAGAGGATCTAAAAGTTCCAAGGCATTTACGTCCGTGAAAAACTAAAAAGCAGCACAGAAACAACAAAAACCATTCATAATGGCCACCCTCGTCTCATGAAACTGTCGCGGTTTCCACCGGAATTCACTCGACATCAAAGCTATAATCAATGCTTATCATCTTGTATGCTTAGCAATACCGGAAACAAATCTGAAACCAGAACAACAGGCAAAACTTTGGAGGTTTTCTTTTGTCCTTCTTTCGTCAGGAAGGATAACCTTGCAGGTGAGTGGGCCAGTGGAGGTGTAGGTGTTGTCACCTCACTGGATTATCCATCAAACTTTCTTTGAAGACATCCCTCCAAGTTGTTGCGACTCAAACAAATTTTGATGTTGTTTCATTTGTTTCTCTGTATTTCTCTCCAAATGAGCATATTAATCAGAAAACTTTAAATGGTCTTATAATGGTCTTTAAATGGAACAGCTGTCTGAACTCTTTATCATAATAAGAGATTTTAACAGCCATAGTCCGCTCTAGGGCAGTAAAGATACAAATTGCCGAGGAAGACAAATTGAGCAGATGATTGAAGATCATACGTAGCCTTTGTCTTCTGAATAATGGGCAGGATACTTACTTCCATGAACCTTCAAGGACATTCCACGCTCTCGACCTTGCCATCTGTTCACCATCTCTGTTGCCATTTTGCACTTTTAGTGGGGGGAATAATCTTTACAACAGCGATCACTATCCCATTTTTATATCTCTTGCATGAAGAGGAGCAAATCCCATGTCGAGATCCCCTTGGTTCATACTCGATAGGGCAGACTGGGAACTCTTCTCTACCATTGCAGAACTCACAGAGGAAATAATAGAAGATGTGCATATCGATGACACTGTTGAAGCTGTTACTAATACTATTATTCAGGCAGCTATGCTTACCGTTCCTAGAACATCAGAGAAAATACTAAAATATACGAAACCATGGTGGAATCGTGACTGTCATGAAGCACTGAAAAAACAGAAAAAAAGCATGGGGAATTTTTCATAGATATCCTACTCTGTGAAACCTCATAGCATTTAAAAGAGCCAAAGCAAATGCACAAAAGTAAGAAGGCAGAGCCAAAGGAATTCTTGGATTTCATATGTGTCGTCAATAACATCCTCTACACCTATTAAACTAAAGTAAACGGGTTTGGGAAAAAGTTAGAAAAAAGCATGCGGAATATATAAAGACCACTCACTTTCCTTTTTGGAAAAAGATGGCCGATTGCTTAGCTCAATAGAAGAAATTGCGAATTTTTTTTGGTGAGACATTGTGCTGCCGTTTCTTCCAGCAGAAACTATTCATCTGCATTTCTCTCTCTATCAAGCAGCACTCTGAAAGAACTCCTACTGCATTCAACTCTTCCAAATCTGAGCCTTATAATAGAGACTTTACTATGCTTGAACTAAGGAGAGTTTTGTTGCAGACACATAGGTCTTCGGGTCTTGATGGCGTGAATTACAAAATGTTGAAGCATCTGTCCTATAAGTCACTGAGTGCCCTTCTCTCTTTACAATAGAGTGTGGAAGGAGCGTACTCTTCCCATTGCATGGAGGAGAGCTGTTGTAATTCCTATTGCTAAGCCAGGGAAAGATCCAAGGAATCCCTCCAACTATCAGCCAATTGCCCTTACGAGTTGCGTATGCAAGTTGTTTGAAAAAATGGCAAACAGTCGCATAGTCTACTTCTTGGAAAAGAATAATATTATATCGGCTTATCAAAGCGGTTTTGTGAGAAGTTTCAAGCAGGAAGAGGGTGTGCCTCAAGGCTATGTGCTTAGTGTAACCTTGCCTAAAAATAAATTCTGTATTAAAACAACTTCCTCCCACCAATTCAGGATCTTTATATGTTGATGATCTACAAATTAGCTGTCGAGGTGCAGTTATAAAACATGTAGAGAGGCAGCTCCAGGTCGCTTTGAACCGGATCCAGGAATGGGCAAACAAACAAGGATTTACGTTTTCGAAACAGAACTGTGTGCGTGCACTTTTGTAGAAAGTGAGGTCTCCATCTTGAGCTTGAATGGGCTCAATTCTGAATCCTCAATGGGTCAGTGATTCCAGTTGCACCTGAAGTAAAATTTTTAGGGGTGACGTTCAACCGAAAATTGACTTTCCTTCCTCATGTCCTAAACTTGAGAAAGAAGTGTACAAAAATTTTAAATACTTTAAAAGTCCTGGCAAACACCTCCTGGGGTGCAGAGTGTTGCTCCATGCTTCGCTTTGCTTGTTCGCTCTAGACTGGACTACGGTTCAGCTGTTTACAGATCCACTTGGTCTGTAAACTCGGTCTTCAGTGTTGTTAAAACTAGATCCTGTTCACCATCAGGCTCTGCGGATTTGTTCTGGAGCCTTCAGGACGTCTCCTGTCCAGAGCCTTTATGTTGACTGTTACGAACCATCACTCCATTTGAGGCGTGAGGAGTTGTCTCTTTTACAGTATTTTAATATATTGTCTCAATTTGACCATCCATATAAACTGTGTTGACTTGATAATAGCTGTGACCTTTTATTTGAGGCACGTCCGTCCTTTGTGCCTTCTTTTCCTGTCAGAGTTCGTCCTCTCATTGAAGAATTCTCCCTGTCTGATATTGCCCCACAAGCAGTACAGCATTTTGAAATCCCACCTTGGGAAAATGCACAAATCCAGTTTCTTGATATTTTCCACAGTTACATCAAAACAACTACTAATGAGAGCATCTACAGACAAATTTTTGCTGAACACAGGCATAGTTACAGCAGTTATGTTTCCATACATACGGGCCCACCAGCGGCCGAGCGGTAAAGTCGCTGAACACTGGTAGTTCGGTCCGAGGTTCGAATCCCGCGAACGGGCTGGCTGCATGGGCGTTTTCGTGGTTTTCCCCATGTGTAACGTGTATACGAGCCAGTTTCCTTTAAAAAGTCCTCCACGAAGGCATCCCTTCCCTTAGGCAGATAGGCCTCGAGGCTTTGCCATAATTACACAAACAAACAAAATCCATACATGCAGATGGATCCAAGTCAACTTGTCATGTTCGGATGTCACTTATAATTGGTGACCACATGGATGGCAGACATTTATATGACGCTTCCTCAGTCTTAACCTCCGAACTGACTGCCATATACTATGAGCTTTTGTACATCTCAATGCTGTTGAAATGTCCAGCCGCCTCATCCCTTTTAGAGATATCTGTTGTGTCATCAAAGAGAAAATCAGAAAAAAATGGCAGCAACTTTGGGACATTCAACTTCACAACAAGTTGAGAAGAGTGAAGCCTAAAATAGAGCATTGGGATACTACTAGCAATCGTAAGAAGGAAGTATTTTGACTCGGCTTAGAATAGGTCGCACTAGAGCAACACATAGCTATCTACTAAAAGCTGAGAATGAGCATGTTTGTCTGTCAGTCCATCACATTTTAATTGAGTGTCCATATTTTAATAGTCTTTGTGAGAAGTATTTTAATAGCTGCGACTGCCTCTCGACCGTTTAATCGGAAGAGAGGTCAATACCAATTTGTTTCACTACCTGAAAGAAACAGGTTTCTATTATTTAATTTGATTTTTGTCTTGAGATTTTATGTTAGAATTTTAATGAATCTGGTGTTTTAGGATTTTATATCTATATTGCATATCTCATTGTTGCATATCAGCATTTTCCTCCCACCATTTCAATATCTTTTTACTTGCTTCAATTGTATAAGTGTGCTGTTAACTTTAGACATTTTTTCTTTATCTAAAATTTGTACTTTAGTTTATATATTGAAAAACAAATCCTGCGTTTGGCGCATATGGCCTTTAGACCTTTGCGCCATAACTCTACTACCACCACCACCACGTTGAAGTGGTGATGTACAGGTTTGCCATTTTGGCTTCATTGGTGAAACTAAAAAACCTTGGTGAGAAAGTAATCACTCAAAAGGCTAAAATTTGGAACAAAAGGTGAAATTTTGAAACCAAAAAAAAAAAAAAAAACTTTTAAATACTTCAATGAAAATTTTTAATTTTGACGAAGAAAGTGATTACTTTATTAATTGAATGAAATTTAAGTAAATTCTGACTCTTTTAAAACAAAAATCTTAATAAATATCATTCAGTGTAAAACTTGAATTAAATTTTAAAATCAATTATTCTTTAAAAAAGATAGACTCAAAAAGGTGGTCAAAAAGTTTTTAATAATTGTTTTGTAGTATAAGTAGAAAAATCCATAAAGTTGAATTTTAGATCTTTTAATATTGTAATTTAAAATTACAGAAAAAGGTTGAAAAAGAAAGTAAAGGAGCTATTGTTAGAAAAGTAAAAAGTCTTTGCATCATGGGCTTATCATGACGACTTGTCATGATATAATGTAAAATGATAAATGATATCATGTATTCATGTATCTTGTATCTTGTCATGTATGTTAATGTAAAATGATAAAAAATATAATGTAAAATGGATCATAATCATTTACATCAAATTTTTAAAATAGTAGGAGGTTTTTTTGAGGAAAGGGTTCTTATATTTTGATAGTATTTTTCCACTTTTGTTGGTAGTATTTTTGGGGGAACATTCATATTCAAGCCCTGAAATGACTATTAATTTGTGCTGTATCTTAAAGTAACTGCTGATTGCCATTTAGGAGAGAAATATGGATTATAATTATATTTTATTAGTGTTGTTATCATTAGTATGTTTTTGTAAACTTTTTTTTTTTTTTCATATAATATTTAGGACATTGGTGGACACAGTTTATATGCTTAAAGATCAAATTCAAGAGCTCAAATCTGTAAGTAAGCAGCTTAAATTTTCATTAAACCTTTTGATTGGCATGATATAAAAATTTCATTTTACAGTAATATTTTTCATTACAGGAAATTTCATCATTACGTAAAACTGTGAATGAAGACAGACTGGCAATGAGAAAACTTGAAATGTTAGTGAAACAACATATACTTCAGCAGCAAGAAAATCATCTAGTTACTAGTCTAGAAGGTTAAAATTCCAAATAAAATTAAAGTTTATATACGCAAGGAAGCTCAGGGATATTAGACAATAGTAAAAATAATGTAAACATCATCTTTGAATGTTTCTGTGATTGACACTGTTTTATTTTTTGTTATAACATGCAGAAATAATTACCTATATAAAAAAGCCAAATATAATTTTATTTTGAGTTTTATCTAAAGAAAACAGTATCTGTAATTTTAACAAAAATAGTGGCAATGAATGAAGGAATATTAGACAATAGTAAAAATAATGTAAACATCATCTTTGAATGTTTCTGTGATTGACACTGTTTTATTTTTTGTTATAACATGCAGAAATAATTACCTATATAAAAAATCAGCTATATATCAAAATTTTACCAGTAAATGAATCATGTAATATATGTAACTCATCGCTGTAGAATATTGGGACAATCAAATATTTCTAAAAACTTTTATGAAATGTCAGTTATTGTTATCAGCTTATGGGGTTGCAGCAGTTTTTTATTAAGAGTGTTAATTTTTAAAATTTGTTTTAACTGTGAGTAATATTAGGTATCAATAATTGGTAAAAAGTTATAATATTAATATATTATTCATTTGATAAGAATTATTAGACAATAGTAAAAATAATGTAAACATCATCTTTGAATGTTTCTGTGATTGACACTGTTTTATTTTTTGTTATAACATGCAGAAATAATTACCTATATAAAAAAGCCAAATATAATTTTATTTTGAGTTTTATCTAAAGAAAACAGTATCTGTAATTTTAACAAAAATAGTGGCAATGAATGAAGGAAAGAATACATTTAATATCATCTATATGCGATTTAAATCAGCTATATATCAAAATTTTACCAGTAAATGAATCATGTAATATATGTAACTCATCGCTGTAGAATATTGGGACAATCAAATATTTCTAAAAACTTTTATGAAATGTCAGTTATTGTTATCAGCTTCTGGGTGCAGCAGTTTTTATTAAGAGTGTTAATTTAAAATTTGTTTAACTGTGAGTAATATTAGGTATCAATAATTGGTAAAAGTTATAATATTAAGTATATTATTCATTTGATAAGAATTATTTTAGTATTTGAAAATAAAAAATAACTAGTGTAATATTGTTACTTTTCATGCAGTAATGATATTTTAGTTTCCAATTTCTTGTAACGATTTTTTAAAGGTTATTGTTAATTTTTATCTCTAAATCTGTTATCATGCACACTCTATTGTTACCTGCTGCAAAATTTTCTGTGAAGTTTTTACCTTACAGATGCAGAAAAGTTTCTTGTTATTTTACAAAACTTTATTCATCATATTTATTAAAATTCCATTGTAGTAGAGAATAAAATATGAATTGTTTATCTCTTTGAAATGTTGTGATAAGCATTTGAAGATTTTATCTGTACAAAGCCTGGAATTAGAAACTATTATGATATTTCGATTTTAGATTCCAATCTAAATTTGTAGATGTATATTTTTGTATGTCATATATAATTTCATAGATTGCAATGTCAGAATGGCATTTTTATTTTCTGTTTTTAACTGTAAAACTTGTAAATATAAAAAATTATCTGTTTTCACATTATTTTAGGCCCTAAATTTTTTATAGCATGCATCATTTTACACTGTAAATTTTATTTAATCATCATCTAATTTATCCACATCATTGCATCCCTTTTGGATTGTATTTCTATTAAAATAACATTTTCCTCTGATTGTATTTATATTATATTATTAGTTAAAACTCTATATAGTATGTTAATACCCAAATTTGTTGCATATGTTTTAAAAATATACCTAAAATGTTTTGCAGTCTATGCCAGTAGTGTAATTAATTCATGTACTGTATAAAACTATAGATTATATAATGAATATTGGAAACTATATAAAAAATAAAAATTAATAGTTTTTTTTTATATATATTAAAAATAGGTATTTAAAAAATTCTCTGTACTGCAGTGACATGAACTAGTTTTAGTATCAGTTGAGGATTCAGGAAGATTTTTTATGAAGCATGTGCCTTGTAATTAACAATTTTTTTTTTATTCTTCGTAATTATTATAATCTTTATAAATTAAAATCAGAAATACTTCCTTAAAGACATATTCATTATTCTTCTATTTATGTTGCATATTCTTAGGCAGTTAAGTTTCAAACTCCTTTTGTCACATGAACCTTCAGCATGCTAAATTATCAGTTCTTGTTAGAAGGCATGGAAAGTACTCCAGCTATGACAGTGGAAATTTCTTTTGCTATAGTGGAAGGTTAGGATTTTTAATTTCTCATGCTCTGAAATATTTTCTTGTGTGTGTAAGATATGTTGTATTTATGTCACCTTGTTTTTTTATTTACTGAATATGATACGATATGTATGTATATATATATATAAAACATGCCAGTTTCAATTTTGCATTAGTCAAAATTCGAGGTAGATTTATAAAATCAATTCTAGATTACATTAAAATTTTGCCTAATTTTAAATACTATATATTCTGGCATATAATGTACACTTTTAGATTAAAATTGAGATAAATATAAGATTAGAATTTATGGGTACATGTTATACATCAGATATAAAAATGATAGTTTTAAAAATAGGAAAAGATGAGCATACAAAAATTATATTTCTATGTGTACCTAAACACTGTATGTTTAAAAGAAATGACATACCTTATGAACTTAAAAAATTTCCTTATCTGATAACATAAAAAGTTCATCATATTTATCCTCCATTATATCTTCAGGCACATCATCGAATTCTCTTTCATCTTCTGTTCCATCTAGACTGTTAGATGTTTTACATTTTTTAATGACTTCGGGTTTATTTTAAGTCTATGCTTTTATTATTTACTTGCACACTATTTCTAACTGACCTGATGCATTTGGCCTCCTTTTTCTTGTTCTTTCCTTGCTTTTGATGTTCACTTCAAAAGACTCCAAAAAGAGAAAACATCTAACTACTAATTCTGTGAATTCACTCAGATCGTAACTGCATTCTTACCTGATATAATGTCCTCCTTTTCTCGAAACCTTAGAATAACATTTTTAGGCATGGCTGCATTGAATATGATGCACCTTCTTTGCAGACTTACTTATTTGCTCCCTCAAACATTTCTCTCGCATACATATTGTTCCCCTTAGTGCTTTGTCAGCTCAGTATTCCATTGTTGGAAAGCTTAGAAAAAATCTTTGAATGAATGACTTAAAATAACAGCATCACATGTGTATCTTTCAGGATTCTTTGTAATGAAAAGACTGTGGATTTTATAGCAAATATACCTAAATACTAAAAAGGTGTAGTTTAAAATTTTAGGTGCATCGTATATGGTGGACTATATGGTATACAGAACATACAATAAATTGAGATACATAACTGTTGGGAATGGAAACAGATATTAGATTTGCAACATTATTAGTATATATTAAATTGCAGCAATTGGAAAGTGAGAGATTTTAGGCAAAATTTCAAAGCATTAATCTTTTTCAACAAATATTTTACTTTTTTAACACTCATTTATTTCCAGAAATAGGTGCACCCTGAGTAAAAGTTTACTGTTCACACAACAGTCAAATAATTTTGCGACTAAGATATTTTCTTAACTGCATATTGTAAAATACAAAATGCTAATTCATAGAAGACTTTTTGGGACGATTTCAGACTTTTATTCATGCCGTATACATTACATGCACACACACAAAAAAAAAGGGGGGCAACTGTGTCTCTTGCACCATTGCTAGAGGAAAAATCCATAATCTGCTGCTAAACTGTATTAATCATATTAATCATAGTATTATCGAATCAGCTAGGCAAGAGGAGAAATTTTTTGGCCAAAAAAAAAATCGAAATTTCATGAATAAACTAGTTATAACATTTAGGAGTAGAACATTTAAATTAAATGTAAATGATCTGTGTTAATATACTGTGATTTAATTACTTACACATTTTTACATATTTTTTGTCAACTATCATAATGAAAAAGCCAAGCAATGTTATTTAGCACTAATAATACATAAATGTAACATCACAACATATTTTGAAAACTGAAACAAACAAAATTTCTTGTCAGTCTTCCTATGAAAATTCTAAATTAAGAAAAAAAGTTGCATTTACATTTTTCTTCCAGAGCTACTGATCCAGGCTAAGCTTTCCTAGACAAAATTTCAATAAACTATACTTGAAAATTATATTCCAAGAAAACACTTGTATGTCATGTAAATCTTATATGTCGAGCACGAAAAACACAATACGGTTTCGAAACATTACATATTTACACACGCACACATACAAAAAAAAAAGTCATAATGTTAAAAAACAATTTTTAAGCCAGGTACCATCTGGTGAAAACAGAACTGTCTACTTTTATCTTATTTCATTTTTCTTTGGAGGCCGTTTTCAACCTTCAACCTGTCTCATAAAACCTTCCCTTGGGTTTTACGTAACCTCGAATTAATTTTCAATAAGCCAGTGAAAAAGTTTTGTTTTTATGTGCATTTATTTTGGATTCCTGCAAGAGTTATAAAACTAACAACATTTATGAGTGTGTTGATCACGTTAATCAATGTTACAATTTTATAATTTTGTGAATCTTAATACTAATGCATATACTCAAACATTGAAAAACTGGAGTTCTGCAAAATGCTTTAATAAAAAGCAATGGAACCACATTACACTGTGTACATTTTGTTTAAACAAATTTATGTGGTGCTGCATTCATAAAGAAAATTATTTTGTTGCTATTTTAAATGTTAACGATACTATTAGAGATTTTATCATCTGCTAAAATGATTGGTGTGAGTTTCATTGAATTTTATTTTTTCTTATTTATGTTTTACATATTATTAACTCATTGTTTATGTGACTAAATACAGTGGTCTGTAATTATCTAACTAAAAAAACAATCTGTTCCTTCAAAATTTTGCCAGAGTGACCAGCACCCGGTTAGTGTAATATCTGCCAACTTTTATGGTTGACTAGAAAATATACTAAGCATCTAAGCATCATGATTTTTACTGTAGATCAGGGTTTCTTAAACTTTTTGCTGTGGGGACCCCCTAATATTTACAAAAATTTTGTGGGACCCTATAAGCATTGTGCAAATCTGACACATGCATGAGTGAAAATATCAGTTTCTTCACTTATACTGTAGTATACTATTGCAGTTTTAGGTCATTGACTTTAATTTAATTTAACTGTGGGTCACGATCGTGACCCACAGTTTAAGAAACTCTGCTGTAGATGATGAAAATAATTAATAATAATCATATGGTCTTAAAGAATCAAAATCAAATTAAATTTTAAAATTATTAGGTATTTAGTATCTGGTTAATTTGAATTATTATCTGAGAAAGAAAACAGAACTATATGTGAAATATTCAGGCATAGAAAATGATGCTTTTCAAGAATCTTGAAAACAATTTATTAATATTATTTTTTTTTATTTCAGTTATCACTCTGATATATTTTCAGCAAAAATATTG